ATTTTTCAAGTAAACAAGAGTAGAAAAAGGGGCCATTTTATTCACTGGGAATTCTAAGTTCCATTAAGGATTCTAAATTCTCCCATTTCACAACAAACTGGCAATAGCATGTGTATTTTTCACAATAAGGAGGCATTTGGCACCATACCTTCTTTTTGCGCACACCTTGAGACGCCTAAGAGACCTGAGAGACCTTTCCTGATGGACTTCAGGACCTCTATCAGAGCGGAGTTCCCTCCTGCGCATTTTACAAAGTGCACAATTGCCTTCCATAAACCCTTCATGCATTACAAGATCTGCTGGGACTGAGCTAAGGCCTCCCCTCAAAGGGGGTGAGGGGGTGGGAGGAGATTACATTACAGGAGATGAATACCAGAGTGGTAGCTTACCAGGGACTTTTTACAGACACCTCTAATATGAACCTGATTTTGTAACTGGCACCTAAATTGATACCGTACATACATTAGAAACAGACAGATGCAGAAACCAAGACGTTATGTAGGGGTCTTCCAAAACATCAGCTGAAACTTGCTTGAATTCTTTAGAAAGAATCAAAGCTGTAAATAAAAACAGATCTGAAGAGTTTTCTCAGGTCACAAAGCCCTCATTCACCCGATTTATAGGTATAAATAGTCAACATGTCAATACAGCTAAAATAGCTTCCCATATATGGTAGGAAAACAGAAGGCATGAATTGAAGTCCACATCAAACTTACAATAGCCACCTGTCTTAAAAGAATTAGTTGGACTCACTTTTGTTATAAATTTTGCTTTTCCTTGGCAATATGCAGCTTAGTAGCATTCACCTGAAGTGGGTCAGGAAGTGGCACATCTGTTTTCCCTATTAAGGAAAGGATTCCCCCTGTTTTGGGCCACCACAGGCCTCCCTGGTGGGCCAGCATGTGAGTGACACAATCCTGAATCCCAGCTCTACTGCTAGCGTACTTTTGCAGTACCTTCAGCAGTTTTTTATGGGAGGTTTCACTGTACCACTTGCTAGTGGCATTATGACTAGGAATAGAAAGTGACACATAAACCAGTATAAGTGATCAGAAGCCAGCTCAAGTCTGTAACACAACAGAAGTTCAGTGCACATAAACCACTTTCAAACTGGCTGAATCTGGTTTAAGATAAACCTGGATGGATGTAGTATTAAACTTAACTGATTTAGCTTAAATTGGTTTATTGAAATTCTGTCTCAGATCCCTTCTGGAGTCAAGTTAACTCATAGTCCCCCAGCATCCCAGGATGCTTTGCACCTCCCCTACAAGCCATCTTTGCAGGGTGTGAAGGCTAGTCTTGGCCCAAGCTGTCTGCTTCATCCAAGCAGGGATGTGTGCTCTAGTGCCCCCACACCTCCCGCAGCTTCTGGCCTGGGTCACTGCAGGCATGTAGCTGCATTTCTGGAATTAACAGTGGATGTGTGTGCACTTGCTTATTGGTTCAATCTACACAATTTAGACTAATCTGAGAAGATTGAATAAATTCAGCCTTGGGCTTTTTGGCTGTCTGTGCTTAGCCTATGGCACTTCACTTTTAAAGATTGCTTTAAAAAGTGTCTCTTCCTGCCTCATTTCTACTGTCAGTACAAGAGATGTGGCAAAACAATTCGAAATGTCAGAAATGCCCTAAATAGGTGTCTTCTGCCAAGAAGGAGAAAGGCCACAGTATAGTAAACAGCTTTATTTCTACCCTTTCAATGACATACTACAGCTGTTGTTAAGTCCAAAAGATCCATCAGTCATTGAACTTGTCACCCTGCATTTAACTTATGAGATAAGTATCATTTTACTGTTTGTTATTATAATCCATTGGGTACTAATGAACTGTTGCTTAGTCTCAGCTGTGACAGGTGTAGTCAGCTACTCCAGAAATTGATGTGCTCACACATTCAGCAGCCTTTATACACGTATCAGGCTGTAGGATTTTAATTATGTGCTGGTAACTGAGGCCACTGAGGTTTTTTCTGTGGAACTTCTGTAGGGGATAATTTGGAAGGCATTATTCAATCTAAGCTCTCAAAGGGGAAGCATGCAGATTCTTCTTATCCAAAACTGACATAAGAGCTTTCACAGCTCATGCCCACAGAGAAAAATTATGGTTATGAACTGGACCATATACCTGCACACAAACTGCTTTGTCTCACCAACCAGGAAATTAGCAGAACTATCACTGGGAAATAGTCTGACCTCTCTTTCTGGAAAGCACTCATACCCTTTCATTACCAAGTTATTCCTTCTGGCTTAGTGCCCCTTACAAAATACCACATTTTCCTCTGAGTGTAGCGAGCGATTCACAGTAAATTTCATATTCCCCTCTGCTTATTCCATTTTGAATTGCACATACTGCGTTTTGCACTGCAAACTCATTTGTACCTTCAGATTGTAAATTCAAAGAGCTCATGAGTAAAATTTTCAAAAGTATGTTATGGCTAATATTTTTTAAAGGATTTAAAGCACTAACTTCTATTATGCCTTTAAAGAACTGGACCTGAAGGACTTATAAGCTTACATCCCATTAACTTTCAATAAGCCTAAATTACTTAGACTCTTCTTAACTTTTACCTTCTTTTACCTCATTTTGTTTGACTATTGCACTGTCAACTAGGCTTATGATGTCATATAAATTATCACTTAGTGAAACCACTTTCCAATTCAGTCGCAATGAATTTTTTTAAAATTAATTTTAATTTCTAACTAAAGGAATCACTCTTTGTCTGTTAATAGTTCTGGTAACTTCTTTGCTCTACATGTTTACTGTTTACTTGCCATTTTAAGAAATCACTTTCATTAACATAATGGAGTTAAAGGGAAGTAATAAGTCCAACTGGTATTTAGCAAATACTGTACCTATTTCTTGCCCAGCTCTGATAAATGGCATTTTGTGCCTGAAAGGTTGTCTAATGTTTCTCTCAACTGTAAAGTCTGTCCAGTGAAAGATATTACCTCCCCCACAAATCTGGCTTCTAATGAACATCATATTTTACTTTAAGATGATAGCTACACTCCAGTCGATTAACTTTTGCCTTTTCTCCATGCGTGATGCACCCGTGTGCTTCTACACTTTGTCATTTTCCTAGATTCCTTCCATTCTCTTGACAGAACTACTTGGAAAATCATGTTCCTCCTTCAAAGTTGAGAAAACGCACTTTTCAATTCTCACACAACTTTAAATAATGGTGTTGAGAATTGATTAGTTTCCCAGATATTTATTTGACTAGACACATTAGCATTTATCACATAGAGATGCATATGGTATGAGAATGGGAAGGAGAAGTAGGAAATCCTAAATTCTGTTCCTGATACGGGTATCCTAGGTCATGTCAGGACTTCTCTCAAGCCTTCCTGCTTCAGTTTCCATGTATGTAAGCTGGAAAAACACTTCATTATTAATTAGCATTCAGTGAGGATTGATGTTGCTGTGAAGGTGGTAAGTGCTAACTATTATTATGAACTACCCCAGTTTGATTATTCTTTAGCAACAAGCAACCTTTCCTCAAAAAAGGTCAAAACAGTGTCCAGGATCTGGGAGAAGAAACCATTGATTTACAAAATCCAGTCTAATGTTCTGAGCAGCATCATGCAAAGCTATCTTTTTTTCCTTCTTTATTCTCAGGATGCTGTTTTTGGCACTTTCAATAAACCTTGTAATTTCTGGAATGTACATTTTGTTTTATAATTGTGGCTTTTGGTGGGGAAAGCAGGGCTGATGACTTATCAGCTCTGTGGCTGATTATTTCAGCCAGTTAAACTCTAACATCTGTTTCTGTAATAAAACATCAGCAAGAACAATGTAAATCATTTTTTCATTTCTATTTCTCCAAGTGCTTGAAAAGGCTGCTCACCTGCAGTCATGATGCTGGTCAGAAATAGATTGTAGTACAGTATCTGAACAGATAGCATGCAACAAGACCAATCTCTAAAAGAGTAGAAAGGTTAATGGGGCATGAACTAAACTAGTTCTTTTGGACCTCAAGTATCCCAAGGAGTCAAATTATTTAGTTTAGGTTGTACAAAGGTGTTGCATGCGGTCCAGTGAATCAGGAAAATCCTTTTTAGTTTAACTAACAAGAACTACATTGACTTGTAGAATTATTTTATTTGTGTTCTGTGCTACATCTTTGACCTTTGTTAAAATGTTTCTCTCTCAGACCAGTCTAGATCACTAAATCTTTTGTATGCTAAAGCAAATAAAGTCTGAGAATGGAAGGGTACTAACCACAATCAAAAAGCCGATGGCATTATTACAGTATTAAAACAATCTTAAAAAAAGACATTACACTATCTATACCAAATTTCAGACAAGGTAAAATGCATGAGCTTGTATTCACTATTTGAGCTTGAAGACAAGTGTAATTTAATTTTTTAAAACTAGGCAATTTTACAGTAGTTTCTAGTAATTTGACTATTATAGATTAGATATGCAAACAGTGATGAGGTGCTCAAAGCAAAGTGGTAACTACAATCTTCAGCTAGAGAGGTTTGCATAGAGGCAGTTGTCTCACGATACTGCATCAAATGAATGCTATAGCTATTATACACACTTACATAATATGGAATATTTCAGCGTAGATTTTTAAAAAATCTGAAGAAGGATACTGCTTAATTACTTAGCTGCCTATGCTGCTTCCACTAGTCTCAAAATTGTCATGCAGTTCAATGGGAGTAATTTGGCTCCAAGAACAGAAAACGTACATTTTGCACAGAGCAGTAAATAATTTGAAGACAAAGGCGATGAATAAGGTCCAGTCCTACAAGAGTGTTGGCATGCTATTCCATGACGGATCTTTAAAATGTTCCAGCAAAAGCTGACTTATCTCTCTTCCTTTGAATTGTTTCCTTCAACTCCTTATACTGTTGCTTTGAGCTGGCCAATAGCAGTATTCATTAATTTTAAACTAAAACATCATTATCATCATTCTACAGTACACAAATATGTTGGCATACTTATAAAGTACTATTTCAGTAAAGCGCTTGGTCTTAAGTTGTTTAGATTCTTTCCTTACTTGCTACTTTGCTATTTGATTCCAACTCCAAACCTAAACCAGCCCCCAGTACAACAACTCTCAACATTACTTTAAGCCCCCAATAGCCACTGATTTTTTATTCTTCTCATCTACAGTGCCACCCCCACAATTTTGACCTACTGAACATTTAGCTCCCATTGGTGGCCCTCATTGCTTAGATTGTCTTCTTCACTAAACTGCTACAGGATGCTGACATTATTTCCTCTCTGGAGGCATTATAGGACTCAATAGATACTTAAAACTACCCATTTCTTTTAAGACTGTAGTAGTAATATGTAGTAGACCACTTTGTAGACTGAAGTGACCCTAGCTCACGAAACATGACTAAGTGGACAGTGCAGTGCCATGGGAAGTTAACTAATTAGTCCATCTTTTAAAAAGATATTAATTTTATACTTGGAAGAGATACCCAAAACCATACCTAGAGACTGAATTCCTTTACAGAGGCACTATTGCTTGGAGATGGGATGTTGCATAAATTTCAGAGGGCCTTGATTCTATTTGTGATTGAACCGCTGTGTGACCTCAGGCAAATCACTTCATTTCTATGGCTTCCTCTCTCCCCCACCACCCTACTTTTTCTATGTTGCTATGACTTTGCCACTGTAGCTTATTGATTTTGTAAGTTCTTTGAGGTGGGTCTTTTCTCCTACCACGTGCTTTTACATTCTACTGGGGTCCCAATTTTGATTGGGATGTCTAGGTGTACTACCTTTGTGGTACAGATCAGATTCTATTTATGGACAGACCAGTGTAACATGGATAGCTGCACCATTTCTGTGCACAATCCCAGTAGGGTTCCAATACCCTAGTCTGCAGAAACCATGTCCAAAGCAGAGGACAGTTGTTTTCCCATACCCACCAGTTACTAGGTTAATCCTATGTAATTACATAGGATTAACTGTGAACATTTTTTGGCCATTACAATTCTGTCTCATTGCTGAAATTGTCCAGGTACAACTGTAGCATTTGTGACTTCTTCTGTGTTTATGCAGCACCTAACACACCATGTGAGATAATCAGAAACAGATCATCAAATAAGATTCTTGCCTTCTGAGCATTAGGCTTAAATCACTTCACAGAAAATAGCGTGGAATCATTAGATAGTAGCTATTTTCTACCACTACCAACCTGTTCGGTTTTGTTTTGTTTTTTTAAACAGACAATACAGAGACAAAAGATTCTGTCTTCAATAACCTGTACCATCCATTCCTTCAGTCTTTTTCAGGTCACATATTTTGTTTGCAATCTATCAAAAAGACTTTCAAGCATCCGTAGTGAGACAAAAAAGTGCTATCACTGAAAGCCATATTTCATGTAAAAGACAAGAGAAAAATGACAATGTAATATCACTGGGTAACTGGTAAGAGTCTACAATATGTTAAGAAGAAAAAGCAGTCATATTAAAGTGGGCTAATTAAACATCCATTATATTTCTAAGCCATATAATTTTGATACCCCAACCAAGGTTTACACACAGTATTTATAAAATCTTAAATCACAAAATGTCGTATGTTGTTACACGCAAGATTTCTGCTCCACAAAGGCAAAATTGTTTCTGAGCATACCAAATAAAACACCACTGATGTCAGTGGACTACACAACATGAAACTGAGGACAGCTTGTTGCTGAAAAGCTATTTGTGCACCAATATCTAGTGTGGCAGACTGGAACTGCATGTAAGAGGCCTTGGCTGTATTTCATATTTGAGTTTGCTTTCATCTCTCCTTAAAAAATAAGAGAGGAACAACTTCCAGAGTCTTGTGAACACTGTATACATCAACAACATGGTTTTTTAATCCTTTCATAAATAAGTCAGAAAACATATGTTATCTGGTAATTGCAAAGTTGGCACTAAAAATATGAACAGCTCCCTTTTCATCACTAATGACATGTCACTTCCAAGGAGAACAGCTCTTTAAACAGGGACAAATCAGAGATGCCAAAGTTCAGCTTTTGAGAGTTATTGTATGAATGGTCTGAACAGAGATCTACCTAGAATATATCCAGTTTTGGTGACAGAATATACATATATCTCAGCAAGAGAGCATAATAAGGCACTAACATGTATCTGTTTCGCTCATTCTTGTGAATGACTAATACAGAGAAAACATTTCAATAATGGATTTAAATTGTAATAAGATATAAATGGCCAAAAGGGGTAATAATTTATACTTTCGCTCTGTTCTTTTAAAGCCTAGGTAGGTTATTAACATTTTTACTATATAATACTTTTACTCACATATTTACTATATAATGCTTCGCCGAGTTCCACATTTTAAGTACAGGAAATTCTGCAAAAGAGTGAATGTACTGTGGTGTAATGAATATTGACTTTTCCAGTTAATCAGCTATACTAGAGGACAGAACAAGGCTCTACAGAACATGTCTGTGACCTGATATACTGGCCCATGTGTACTACAGGACTTAGGCACAGAGCGCGTAAGGGAACGATGCCAGCATTAGCTAAGAATCTTCCCTGTTGCTTTGAATAAGACTCTTGGGGGTGAAATCTTAAAGTGGTGCCAGGGATTTGGCATATGATTCCATTGAGGTTAGTGTGATTTATACAGCCAAATCCCTGCACAGCACTCTGAATATTTACTCCTTAGGCTATTTTCATATATTAGTTTGCAGTTACAGTTTGTTATTAATCATGTTACATTAGTCTCTCTGTACCTCTTTTCTCAATCTGTAAAGTGGGAATAACATATTTCCACCTTTCTATATCCCTTGGAATCCTCAAATGAAAAGCAGCATACAGTGAGTGCAAAGTACCATCAATATTGCCTGTGGACTGCTTTAACGGTAATCTGGAGCCACTCATCTTTCTGTGAATGAGTAAAGCACCTTCTAAAAGGGCTAAGGAGGACATTATAAATATTCAAAGCAGTAGGGTAACTAGGGGTAGGCAACTGGGGCACCAGACATAAGAATGGCATCTGCCACTCCTGCTCCTGCCATGGCTGTGGCCAGTCTGACCACCCCCTCCAGCCCCACTGCCAGCCATAATGCAGACCTGGTTGTTATACATCCAGTTCAGATTTTTACAATATTTGTGTTCCTCTCAACTTTTCTGTCAGTCATGGGGAAAAACTCAATAGGCACACCCAAACAAGCAGAAATGTGTGTTTGCTACATACCAGAATGAACTTTCACAGCAAAAATATAAAGGACAGACAATTAGGAGCACATTTTTCACAGTACAACTATTCCCTCTGACCTCACTATTCACGTACTTATAGATTCATAGATTCATAGATTAAGGGTCGGAAGGGACCTAGTAGATCTTCTAGCCCGACCCCCCGCCAGGGCGGGAGAACAACAAAAAACCCCAAAAAGAGAAACGGGACTCAAATGAGTCCAGCCAGGTAGGCATCCAGCCTCTTCTTAAAGACCCCCAGGGTAGGGGCCAGCACCACTTCCCTTGGAAGTTGGTTCCAGCTCCTAGCCGCCCTAACTGTGAAGTAGTTTTTGCGGATGTCCAATCTATACCTCCTCTCCATCAACTTGTGCCCATTACTCCTTGTTATGCCAGCGGGCGCTAGGGGAAACAGCGTCTCCCCCAAACCCTTCTGGTCCCCCCTAGTGAGTTTATAGACGGTCACCAGGTCCCCCCTCAGCCTTCTCTTGTGGAGGCTGAATAGGTTCAGGTCCCGCAGTCTCTCACTGTAGGGTCTGCCCTGTTGTCCCCGGATCATGCGGGTGGCCCTCCTCTGGACCCTCTCCATGTTGTCCACATCCCTCTTGAAATGGGGCGCACAGAACTGGACACAATACTCCAGCTGTGGCCTGACCAGCGTCGCGTAGAGGGGGAGGATCACCTCCTTGGCTCTACTCGAGATGCACCTGTGGATGCACGACAAGGTCCGGTTAGCCCTGCCAACGATGACCTCGCATTGTCGGCCCATGTTCATCTTGGAGTCAATAATGACTCCAAGATCTCTTTCTGCCTCCGTGCTCTCGAGTAAGGAGTTCCCCACTGTGTAAGTGTGCTGCTGGTTCCGACTGCCCAAGTGCAGCACCCTGCACTTGTCCGTGTTAAAACGCATCCTGTTCCTGTTAGCCCACCCTGTTACTTAAGGGAAATCTGCCTAACACCTTTAAAAGGTGAGGTTGCAACCAAAAATGAATAAGCTAGCTGGACACTAAGTACCAAGGAATAAACACTGGTATTGGTTTCATGGCACTTTATAATTTACCCAACTCCTGAATTCTTTCCACACTTGAAAAGTGAGAAAGACCCTCCTCCCTTTTGATAGGCCTGGACCTTTTAGTAATCAGTTTCTTTTCTTATGCTAATTGTGTCTGCTACTCCTGGGCATTTCTTTCACCCCTGCTTCCACATCTGTTTTTTACTATGCTGTGCCTGGTTTGCAATGGTCAGACCTGATGAAGAAGGTCTTGCATTTAAAAGCTTGTCTAACTCCAATCCCAACTACAAGGGTTGGTCCAATAAAAGATATTAACCCCCAAGAATCTTTGCCTCTCATAACTTCTGGACTACCATGGCCACAACATCACTCTTACACTACCTTATTCATTCAGCACACGGCTTTCCTCTAAGTCTGGCAATTTTGGCAGGTATTGTGAGGCAAGGATAATTTAAATCCTTGAACCTGGGGGAGGTGAGGAAAAGAAGGGGAAAGAGAGTTTATACTATCAGCATCAAACTTTTGTCTAGGGCTAGGCCAGGGCTGTCCAACTGGCAGCCCATGGGCCACACATGACCTATAGGGATTGTTGGCACAGCTTCCAAAGCTACGGCACTGGTGCAGCACTGTAACTCAGAGGGTGAACGCTGCCACTACTTGCCCCATAGGCCCTTGCCTGCCACTGAATCCAGGGTCTTTTTGTCACTGCTGACCAAGGCCTAGGAAAAACAGTATTTACTATCCCCTAAAATCTCTGGAATCATGTTAGGATTTCACTTGCAATAATTTTAGTTAAACTAAGCATGAAAATTCAGAGCTAGTGTTGGCCTTAGTGTCCTGGGCACTCCATGCCCAAACTGTTGGATACAATTCACCAAGTTACAGGAGTATTCTCTGAATCCCTGTTCTTTCCTGCAGAAGTGAGTAACCTGGGGATGAATACTCACCTGCAAACAAGCTGAATCTCAGTTCCATTCATACTGAGTTAATGCGGAAAAAAAAAAAAAAATCACCCTCCTCTCTAGGGCTTGCCTTAAGTTTTTTTTTTTTTTTTTAATTTACTTAAAAAAATACCTTTT